ATAAGTTTGATGTTTACTTATTTAGTGATAAAAAAACSAAAATAACATCAAATTACCCATGCATGATGCTTCCTAAAAAATATGTTTGAGAACAGAATTGTTGAAACGTACTATCTAATATAAATTATAATACTGAATCAAATTTACCCTTATACGAGTGAGATAAAAATCACGCCTCGACTTTGAATTCATAGCCTCGCTCACCAAAGTATTTTTTTTTCTGGAATAGATTTTGACTTTCGACTGGACTTTGGCTTAATTTCATCGAGATTTTCCCATCCAATTCTCTCTCATCTTATAGTTCTCATTCACTTTAGCTGACTGCTCTCTTTTCCTTTTTGGTTTCTTCCTAAGCGCCGTCCTTCATTCGTTATTTGTCGTGAATTTTTTTCTCGCTCCCAGTTTCTTTTTTCTTTGTTTTTCACTTTCTTTTCTACCCTAACTCTGATATGTTTTGATTTTCTTCACCTCTTTGCTAACTTTCAATTAATGCTCGTTTTCTCTGARGAAAACATGTCTGACAGCAAGTCACTCTTCACTCSAAATGSTCGAATATCGMCCAATAACATTAGAGCTTTTAGAGATTACTTGCCAATCTTAGAAGTTTTAGATACAATTGCTTGCTAGCTTTAGCGTACGTTAATGTCATATATTGGTTCTAAACACCACCATGAAAGGTTGATCTCGGTAACTTGAAGATAAATATCGTTAGTCGGTGCTGCTAACTGTTGTATCACGAACAATTCACTAATGGAACGGCTTTTCCTCTACTTTGCTACTTTGAAAACAACATCAGCCAAGCATCTTCACAAACTCYATTGTAAATCTCTAATCTATGTCAGTAAGAAACACTTACAGTATCGTTTACACCAGGGTTAAACACCGAACTAAAARTCTTTTTATAATCAAACTTTCTAGAGGTTTTAATTAAAGTCAAAATAATTTGGGGCAAACAAAAATTCGATTTTCAAGGAGTAGCACGAACCCTGGAATTTAATTTAATGGACTAAAATAAATACAAAATGGCTGAAGCATGCGTTAGACTAGTGTGAGGTGCGTCGGTGTTTCTAAAGATACTGTTGTGTAAAAAGATCAATTTGACACCGTAAAAAATAGGTGAAACCTTGCTTCTATTGGTCTACTCGCTTCCCTCATTATATAAACTGTTACTTAGCCTAGTTTCATCTATTTACTCCGACGAAGGATCAACGTCCGAAACGTCAGTAGAGTGGTTTTCAAGAACCCGTGAAACAAAGTGTAATAATTAGAGTGTAATAGATCGTAATAGTCGCGTAGAGACAATAAAAACAAAAGAGCCAAAGTGTAATAGCGATAAATACGCTAAAGTGTGTTTCACGGGTTAATGAAAACCACTCAAAGTTGTTTCACCTATTTATCTTTTTACACAACTGTAAAATTAATACAAATAGTCTACCTTTCCGATGTCAACAGTATCGACAGTAAATTTGTAGGTTCGTCCTTTTTCAAAGCGGTTCCTAGCATCGCCTGCTTGTCGGAGCTGTATCTTGGCTGTGTTTCCTTTCTCTCCGAACAACTGTATGTAGACATTGCCGTCGGTACCGGAACCTTTGACATCACCGACCTTAATACTGAGGTTATACGTAGCTGGAAATGAAATAATATCCATTAGGATTAATCGTCAGAACAAACAAATGACAGCAGCACAAGCAGCAGAAGAGGAAGGTAGCGGAGGAGCAAGAAGAACAAGAACATAATGAAGAACGAGAGGAAAGCAAACGGCAAGAAGGGGAGCAAGAAGAACGAGAAGGGAGAAAAGAAGAAGACTGAAGAAGACAAAAGAGCAACAGCAAGATGAATGAGGTCAAGGAGAAAAAGAAGACTAAGACGAAGAAGAAGAGAAGTAGAAGAAGTAGAAGAAGAAGAAGAAGAAGAAGAAGAAGAAGAAGAAGAAGAAGAAGAAGAAGAAGAAGAAGAAGAAGAAGAAGAAGAAGAAGAAGAGGAAGAAGAAGAAGAAGAAGAAGAAGACAAACAAGAAGAAAAGGAAGAAGAAGAACAACAACAACAACATGGACAAGATGACAACAACAACAAACGAAGGCAAACGAAGAAGACGATGAAGCAAAAGAATAAGGAGAAAATAAAGATCAAATTATGTTCAAAAATATTTTGAGAAGTTCAATTTTCAAATGCAAATAATTTCATATCAGTCTCTTTATTAAGTCACACATCATTGACAGTCAAATGTAAACACAACGGTAAACAAAGGATTTATATCAACATATCATTTACTTTATCAACAGAATATTCAACAATAAACTATAACAATAGATTTGCGTTGAAGCATTTGACTCGGTTTCTATTTATAAAAAATCCTAAAAAGAGCCACGCGCGTCAGACCGAGAAAAAGAGCGGGAAAAAATCAGCCAATGACATCTCTTGAAAACACTGACGTTACAGTTGTATTTTTTCCGTGTTCTCAAGACTGTCATATAGCGAAATGCATTCATTAATTGAATTAAAAAAGCAAAGATGGGGTGTGCCGGCTTGGTATTCGAACAATTATAACCGACATCAAACTGAGAAGCCCAGCATACTATTATAAAGTCATTGAATTCAAATTTGCGTAATGAAAGATGTCTTTTGTAAGGCAATGTTTCCAACTGTGCGAATATGATTGTATCGCACAGAAACATCCCTAAAAGGTTTAAAAATACAACTTAAAAGCCAAAAAATTATAAGTATATGTAACAAAAACATTGGCCAAAGAAAATCGTTCATATTTGTATTAATTAGTTTTTAATCTTTTCATACACTAACCGCCTCTCCCTAACAAAGACAAATTCATTTTGCATGCATTGCAAATAATACAGCGAAAAAGACTGAATAAAAGTTTGTATATGGCAAAAAAAATATAAATATGTCCCCTTTCGCAATATTTGTGTTATAGCTTTGTGAATTTAGTATTCAAGTAAGAGCTTTTTAGCTTTTTATCTATGTTTTGAAGACCTTTGAATTTGTACACCGAAGCAAACAGCTCTCGAGGTCTCATGGCCAGRTTCAGTCAACCGAGCAAATTGCCCCTAAAACAGCATAACATTCACGAAAATCAAGTAATAAAACATTTTGGTCACTAAAACAAAATCTTAACAATTTGCTTCTTGGAGTAAATGAATTGTAACACCAGCAAATGGCTTAAAATATTCGAAATTTTTTCGCAGTTTTAAGATTCAAGTATGTAGACTTCTCTAGAATTCTAGAATGTCAGACCAAAGTTATCATAGCAGCTGAAATATTCCGTTATAAGATGAAAAAAACATTAAAACGTTCGTGCTAGAGAGCGATTAACGTTTCCTCACGCAAACATTGAGCAAACACCGTCTACACCAGCTGTTTGCAATACTTYAGAACTGCATAAATATACACTTTTCGTCTAAGTACATTTGCTTATAACTGCTGATAATTTCTTTGCCTTTTCATCGTAGAAAAAGCTTGAAAGCTGGTAGTTTAAGTGTGATAGTTTAAACGCAATAGACTATGAGCTTACCGGAATTTTCTGGCATTTTCGAGGCGAGTTTAGTGAGCTTTTTTTGGTGAGTAAACTATTAACGCAGCCGCCATTGCCGCTACGCTGTTTGACTTCTTAAGAAAAGTATAAATTATGCAAATATAAGAGCAGTTGTCGAAATTATGAAGTAATATTTTATACAGCCGTCGGTCAATACGAAGATTTATTGGTCTGGAGTTTTTAATAGCTCAATTCGTGGTCATCTAGACCATCAGTTAAGCACCAAARATTGACAAARCACTTCAAAATATCAACAAAGATAAAGCTAAACGATGTTTTAAACTATGTTATTGCAACACCCGAAAACGGAAAATTACTTCGCATGTGAAATTTTCTCATGAAGAAACACAAATCAATCTTCAGAATGCCCGTAGGTCTCTCTCAAAAGCGCTGAGTAAATGGTCTTTTCTAACACAAAAATAAACTTTTAATGTAAAAATAGCTTCAATAATTAATTACATCCAATGTAATGTAATTCATAAAAAATAACATTTCAACAATCAAGAGTTRTAAATAAGTGTTAGACAGAAGCCATCTTACATGTCTTAAAATGCCTAATGGCGTCAGTTAAAAACTGAAAATAGCAATAATGATACAAAATTAATGTAAACTTATAATTTGAATAATTTATTACTCGAATGTACAGTAATCTGGGAAAAAACAACGGTCCAACGATTCGCATCTGTAGTTGAGTGACMCAGAGAGACCTTGAAATCTCTAACACAGCCACTAGTCAGCTATATATATATTTTTTTTTCAATAGCATGAAAAAAAACGCGCAAAAATATGAGGCGGTATTTTCCAAGCATACGTTTTATCCTACGGCATATCCTATGGATTAAKTTTACGTCACTACTTCCGTAGGCTACGTAAGGTTTACACGAATTCAAATAATTTCGAGAAATTGTATTTTTTGTAYACTTTTATACAATATCTAACMACGCAAAATCACCGAAAACGATGACCGCATCCGAGTATTTTGGAAAACGTTTTTGAAAGTGGTTACTTTTGAAAMGTGCTTTGAAAAACACTGATRTTCRMTTGTACCATGGATAAATTATTTATCCATGCTTGTACATATCAAAATAAGCAGTGTGCAGCGACGCCATTTTGTATGATAGCAAAGCATGATGGTAGTTTTAGTCCCCGCACATTTTATCGCCCTCAATAACTTCCCTAAAAGGATTTTTTTTTTTGTGTTTTCTTTGTAGAAACGTCTCAAACATTTCTATTTTATTATTTTTACATTTCTCATTTTTTATTCTCATTTTTTTTTCATTTCGCTTACTTGTGGGTCGTCCAGCGCTTGATGTCCTGGGCATAGTTGCTGTACCAGGTCCTCTCGGTCCAGAGGGTTGTCCATGTGAACGAGGAAGCGACATGCTTGTTGTTTGAACCGCTGTACGCACATACTGAGGCTCATTCTTTGCTGGTCCAGTCGATGGAGCCCTGGGAACTAATGCAAAAACCTAGTAATTATAAAAGTGGAAAGATGTAACCTTCTAGTATTGTTGAAGCCCAAATGAAAGAAGCCCTTTGTATTTTTTTGGTCCAATCAAAAGCCCTCCATAATTGCATTTTGTTGACTTTCCGACATTTAAAAGCCTTCCATAATTGCATTTTGTTGGCTTTCCATAATTCCAACATTTAAAACCCTTCCATAATTGCATTTCGCTGGCTTTCCAACATTCCAGTGACTTCCACAATTGCATTTTAATGACTTTCCAACTTACACGCTTAAAATTACA